GAGATTAACTTGAAAGAGTTCCCTCTGGCCAAATTCGAGACAATTTGAGTGTCAAAATAAATCATGGTAATAACAGATAAGTACTATACTATTTGAATAAAATAGCAAACCATGTGTCTATACTAGTCAGTTGAATAAAATAGCAAACAATATGTCTATATTAATATAAGGAAATAAATGAATAAATTGAAAGTTTGATAAGGAATGAAATATTGACATAGTTTCAAAGTACCTTTCTAAAAAATTCCAATGACAAAGGAAAAGAGATTAATGTTACAGAAATGAAGCCTGACATATACCATTACCTTAATCAAGTGAAGATCATCAGTAATAGAACAAATTAAAATTGGGTGTAACTTGGTAGAATTTTTAAAATATAGAATGTAGTATCACACTTTTGTGTTTACCAGCCAAAGATTTATGACCTGAATCTAACATAATAAAGAACAATATAACTACAGAACAATTCTCAAAAGTATCAACATCATAAAAGTCAAAGAGACGTGATAACTACATGTAATATATGATCTCAAACTGGATCCTGTTTTTATAAAGAACATAATAGGAATAATTGAAGAATGGTAAAAACATATTGTTAATTTCCTGATTTTTGATGGTTTACTTTTTTTTATGGAAAGGTCTGTTTGTAGGCAGTATGCAAAAGTATTTGAGGAAGATGGTGTATCATGTTGCCAAGTTACACTCAGATGGTTCAGGAAAAAAAATAATTATTTGTACTGTATGTACAACTTCTTTGTAACTTGAGATTCCCTGCCCCCCCCACCCCAAACTTGAGAATCTACTTCTAGATACTTATTCTAAGGAAATAATAGGCAAAAGATTGGCAAAACTGGGTACAGTTGATGTACAAAAATATGTGTACAGATGGCCATAGTTCCTTTGTTTCTAATAGTGAAAAAAATTGTTATTAAATACTGCTAGGGGAGAAGTCCATGATATACTGGTACATTGTCATAATGTAGTAAGTATGTATAGCACACTTTCATATGAAAAAAAGGAAAGAAAAATGTAAATGGCTGTATAGGGTAACGCCTTTTCTCTACTCCTGACTTCTATGCTAAAATATTTTTTCTGGGTCTTTACTCATTTGTTCCTGGGGAGGTGTGGTATATTTGATAAACACATTTAGGAATAAACCTCAGAAAAATTTAACTGAGCATGCAGAGTTCAGGTACATATCTCTCTCTCCCTTCGTTCCCCCCTCCCCCTCCTCCCTCTCCTCCCT